CTGGGAGGTAGGAGGAGCAATAACACAAGCCCCACCTGGGCAGCTGAGGGACACAGTGAGACCCTGTCTCAAAATAAAGAAGAAAAAAAGGGCTGAGAACATAGCTCAGTTGAAGGTCCTAGGTTCAATCCCTAGTTTTGCCAAAAAAAAATGTAGAAGGTAGAATTTTTTAAAAAAGAGAATATAGAATTACAGTACTTCTGGTGCTTGTTAACTTCAGGGTAGACATAACAGCATTGCCCAGATCTGGGAATAATTTATTCCAATATAAATGTATGGATTTAAGATAACAGAGTGTACCATTTTTTTCCGTTTTCACTGTCCAGCTACCAAATGCTATTGAAATAAGCAATTATTTTGAAATTACACAATACAGAGCAGTGCTTTTCTTTCAATACAGAGAACTAAGACACACAGAAAACTGAAGTATATTCAAATGCTTTAGAAAAATAGGAAATACGTTTCCATCCAATTTCTACAAGTTACTATTGATCAAGCAGAATTACACACACCAAAGAGATAAATTACTGATAAGAGAGCACTTTTCAGTGAGTTGCTACATATTGAATACTTATTCTCTGAAAAGTGTGGGACCAGAAGTGCTTCAGATTTGGGAATTTTTGGATGTTGATATATTTACAAAGGATTTTGACATGTGGAGTATCCCTAACTCAAAAATTTTTCAGTTAGGAAAACTCAACCTGTATTAGTTTATTATAATGAACTCTATTTTTTTTTTTTCATTTTGGTTTGGTTTTTTGAGACAGAGTCTCACTATGTAGTTCAGGCTGGCCTTGAACTTGTGGCAATCTTCCTGCTCAGCCTCCTGAGTGCTGGTATTACAGGTGTACACCACCACACCCAGCTGTTTCATCAATTTTATTATTTATTTTATATTGTTATTGGTTCTTTATCACTAGACATTTTCACTCAAAAACTAGGGAACCAGAAACAGCAGCAGCAGTTCTGCCTCCCTGGAGGTGTATAGTTTTAGTGTGGTCCAGGGAAACAACACCCACCAGTAGAACTGAAAACCAATACTTGCATGCTGAGAGGCCTACAAGGGTGCCCATGGATTCTGGAAATATATATATTCCATTATTTCACCGAACAAAATTCACAATACCACCACTGAGTAAGCATGAACCCTGGTGATTCCCGCTGTATAAGTACTGGGTGCTACCAGACTGCGCCACTGCAGCTCTGTGATTACTTCTTCTGAGGCAACAAAAGCCGTAAATTTATTTAAATCACCTGAGGAAAGATGGCTCCTCACACATGGTTGTGTAGGGGTTGACTGGAAACGTGGTTTTTAATGCTGTAGAACGCACAACTACGTTGTTTGCAGTTGAGTTTTGCAATGTTTCAAGTGCCTCTGTCTGCTGTTGTTAGTGTAGCCCCTTCTGTTTACACAGAGGGTTTTTCTCCTGCTCGATTCTAAGCAGCTCACCATACGCTGTTCTCCCGCCCATCCCACCTTCCTCTTTTCCTTCACCATTCCTGCACACATACCTCTTCCTTTCAATGCACAGTTTAGGAATCAGAAGGCGGATTTTACCAGACAGGGAAAAGGGTTTTTCATGATGATTTAATAAGCCCATGGCTTCACCCATGTTAAGTAAGGTTCAACCAGTGACAGCTATGCTCATAGCCCAAACCAGAAGAAATTTTATGTCTCTCTGTATATGAACATTTGTCTCCAACAAATAACCTCAAAACAAGAAGATAACTTTTGTTAAGTAAAAACTACAGGTCACTATTTTGGACTAGGCCTCTGCACTAGGTCCCAACAGATCAGACTAAAAATAAAAGTGGAGGCACTCATACTAAACTTCCACATCGCCATACCCAAACCAAATTTCATCTGACTTTCCTAGATTAGGAGCAAGAGATTTCCCAAACAGCCCAGTTTCTGTAGGCAAAATAGTAAAGTTCCCTCTGCTTTACTCCTTGCAAAAAAGTAACATGTTGTTAGCAAGTTCTTTTTCTATTGTTTGGTCTCCTTGTTCCTGGCTTACAATGAAAGCAACTGAAACGTGCAATTCTTTTGTTCATTTCTGCTTTCTTCAATCCCCATCTGTAACATCAAGCCCAACGTGGTGGCTGGCACAAGGCTGTAATCCCAGCACTCGGGGAGCCTGAGGCCGGAGGACCCTGAATTCAAGCTGCATCTGGACACTTAGCAACTTAGCAAGCTCCTGACTCAAAGTGAAAAATGAAAAAGGGCTAGGGATGTAGGATAGCGCAAAGGCCCTGGATTGAGTCTCCAGTACCAACAAACAAACAAAGATTTGAGTACTGGAATAAATGAAAACAAGTATTAAGAGGAAAGTGGATGCACCTTGAGTTCATAATGCTAACATTATGAATAATAATCACACACAGGATAAACACGGCAAACTCATAGTATAAAGAGAAGAAATCAAGATGTTGGGGGAAACAGCAAGAACAACAAGCTCAGTATGTGTGAAACTGAGGAGCATATCGAGGGCAATTATTGGCAATGTCTTTTCCGATAATAAATTTTTAAAATTAAAAGCAACTTCCTCTTCTCAGTCTGTTAGAACCCTCACTCTATTTTACAGAATGAAGTACTGCTCAATTCCAGAACCATAAATAAACCAATGAAGATTGTAAAATTTTAATGTACTTTTTTGAGACAGGATTTCACTATGTAGTTCAGGCTGGCCTTGAACTCGACCTCACAGTGATCCTCCTGCCTCAGCCTCCTGAGCTGCTGAGATTGCAAGTATGCACCACTATACCTGGCTAATGTCCTTTGACACCCTTATGCAATTTTTTTTTTCTGGGCCGAGGATCAGCTGTGGGCCTCACACATGACATTGCAGGGCTCTACCACTGATCTATACTCTCATCCCAACAATAAACTTTTTAAATTTTCTTTTTATGATCATTTAAGGGAAAGGAAGGAAAAACTAGCTTAGTTGTCAAAAGAGAACTTAGTCCAAGCATGGTGACACATATCTGTAATCCCAGCAGCTCAGGAGGCTGAAAAAGGAGGATCACAAATCTGAGGTCTGCCTGGGCAATTTAGCAAGACCCTGCTCAAAATTTTAAAACTTAAAAAAAAAGAAGGTTGGGGATGAAGCTCCATGCAAAGGCCCTGTGGTAGGTTCCATTCTCAGTACATTTAGCCAATTTACAAGTGAATTCTATTCCAGGAGAACATTTCACAAGTCAGATTCATTCATAAGTCTGATGAAATGAGTCTTATACACCTTTGACAGAAAAATACAATGTAAAGCATAAAAAAACCACATGCACAAATACTGTGAACAAACTACTTTTAGTTACCTTTAAAAGTTGTTACAGTACAACTGTACCAACAAACAAAGTTGTTTTGTATGTTTTTTTACAAAAAAAGTTGTTACAGTACAACTGTAAATATAACAGTTATCTTAAAATGGTAGTACAGTACATACTACTATTTTAGCATACAGGGACTGCTCGGGGTAAACTGACAAGAAGAGAGTTACTAGGTGGAGGAGGAGGGTAGGCGGGAGATGGTGGAGCTGAAGGATCATCAGCAAGCGTCCTAGATTAGGACACAGGGTTGGTTTGTTTGTTTGTTTGAGACGGGGTCTTCCTTGTGGAGTTTTTGGGGTCTTCCATGTAAAGTATCATGTCATCTGCAAATAGTGATAGTTTTACTTCTTCCTTTCCTATCCTTATTCCTTTTATTTCTCTCCCTTATTCCTTTTATTTCTCTCTCCTTTTATTTCTCTCTCATTTTTTAATTGCTCTGGCTAGTGGTTCCAGAACTATATTGAACAGGATTGCTGACAGCGGACATCCTTCTCTTGTTCCCAAGTTTAAAGTAAAAGCTTTCAGTTTTTGTCCATTTAGAATGATGTTGGCTGTGGGATTGTCATAGATGGCTTTGATCAGGTTAAGGTAAAGACCATCTATTCCTATTTTCTGTAGAGTTTTTATCATAAATGCATATTGGACCTGAGACAGGGTCTTCCTATGCAGTTCAGGCTGGCCTTGTACTCACTATGTAGCCCAGCCTGGCCTCAAACTCAAGGTGCTTCTCCTTCCTTGGGCTCCTGAGTGCTGGGATTACAGCTCCACACCCGCCTGACACAGGTGTTTTGAAGGACTCGACTCTGTCAACCCTCTTGAAAAACCAGCGATCCAGTAGTGTCTGAGTAGTAGCTCTTTTTTTTTCTCATCATAGAGGACTCTATAGCACCGTATGGCCTTCTGAATGGCAGCTGCCACGTTTGTGTCTCAGTCTACGTTGGGGTCCTCTGCCTCAAAAACTAACAGTAAAGAAAACCTCCTTGCCATTTCCTATGTTGTTAATGTCTTTGATTCTTCCATTACGTCTTCCTCCTGGCCCTCTTCATCCACCAACTTTTTGCCTTGGTCCAATCTTTCAAATATTTTCGTTTTTGTTTCCATGGTTATTGCTCTGAGCTTCCTAGCAGTGCCCTCTGCATAACCACTGCTTCTCCTCTTGCTTCTGGACACCCTGGGCTCTGAGTGAGCACTGCACTACTGTATCCCATGCACTGTCCAGTAAGCACACAGTGGGAACGATGTCCGGCAGACACAACAGCTACTTCCGCAATATGTTCGCATCTAAGAATGTTCCTATCATGAGGTCCACTCCTATTCATGAAAGTTCATAACTCAAGTGTTTATAATTTGGGCTTACTGTACCACAAAAGAAAGATAACAAGTTAAAGATTAACCTCCAGGACCATACAAAACAAAAATTAGAGAGACAGTGGAGCAAAAGTGGGGAAGGGGAGCAAGAAAACTAAGGACAGGAACCAAAATCAGTACAGGAAAAAAGAAAAGTGACAGCTAAAGGCAGGCACAGCAAGTTCTAAAGAGACCTTATTCAAGCGTGCCATAGCATTAGCAGGACGAAGGCAATGGCCTGAATTCTATGCGTCCTGGACAAGTCAAAGAAATCTTTGGGTCTACTTCATAACCTGTAAATTACAGACGAATCCTTTCTTCTTAAGTTACCTGTCTAGGTGCTGAAACAGTCCATGGCAAGCAGGGCAGGCAGAAGGCAGGAGGGCGCAAGCAGCAAGCAAGCCACAAGCAAAGACCCTCTGTCTTTCCATTATGTTCCACGCAGAACACACACACACACACACACACACACACACACACACACACAGTGGGGCACCCTTACTCCTACCCAGGACTGTGCCAAATCAATCAGGGGATCAATTTAGTAATCACACACCCTTGATCCCAGCATCACAAGCTGTTTCGGGTACCTCTGAAAAACCCCACCCGTGACCACGTGAGGCTTTGGGTGGACATCTAGACACAAGCCATAACACTTCTGGATGTTGTGGTAAGTTGTTTTTATTTCCAACGTATCTTGAATTTCATTCGGGGTTTAAATCGCTTGCCAGACAATTAACTATCTTTTGAAATCTTTTTTTGGTCCAGCCTTTCAAAGCACCACGCCTGGGTAACCCAAGTCGGAGTTTTAGTATATGTGCTCCCAAAGCCAGCCCCCAAGTGAAAACCAAACTAAACTAAAAGTATGTTAACTTCAGGCTGAGTGCTGCCTACCCTAGCCACCATAAATTTACGAAAAAAGCTCACGCTCCCTCCGAGCGTCCACAGCAGGCGCGCACACACCTCTCAGCTGCCAGATACCTCGACCCCACACTCTGCTTCCTTTGTGACAACACCCCCACTGCGGACGCGACCAATTAGGGTGAGGCGTGCCTACGTTCCGCCCTTATTAGGAAATGGGCAGTGTGAGGACTTAATCTGAAGTTTTAGGAAATTACAAGAGGTCACGTCTCCGCCTACTCCAGCCGAAAGCCGACGGGAAATTCCGCCCAACCCCGCGCGGCCCTTGCGGACGCCACCCGCGAAAACAGACCCGCACGGCGCAGGCGCAAGCGAGCGCCGCTACGTCACAAGAGGACGGCGCCGCGGCGGCAGAGGGCGGGGACGTACGTCACGGCCGCGCCCGGGCGGAAGGCCGCACGCCGGAAGCCGGGCGAGTTAGGTCCGGCTGCAGGAAGGGCTGGCGGAGGGAGCGGGCCGTGCTTCCGGGTGTGAGGCGCGCCCCGCCCGCCCACGGTCCGCGGGTTTCGGCTTCCTGGCAGTGACGAGCTGGGCGCGCGGCGCCGCCTGACCGCGGGGAGGTCTTCCGGCCCCCGCGCGCCGGGTTGTTCCGGGCGAGTTCCGCGGGGCCGGTGGGCGGGGCCTGGGCCGGTGGGCGGGGCCTGGGCCGGTGGGCGGGGCCTGGGCCGGTGGGCGGGGCCGCGCAGAGCAGAGGCCCGGATCGCCGGGCCGGGAGGGGCAGAGGGCTTCCTCGCGGACCGTCTGCCGGTGCTCACGCTGCGGGGAGCGCTTCTCGCCTTCGATGAGTGGGGTTTGTGGACGGTGCGGCGTTGCCGCAGCCCGTGTAAAGACTGCGGAGGGCCGTGGCGGGGCGCGCCTGTGCACGGAGCTGCTGTGCACGTTGAGACTGGGGCCCGCGGAGACCGGGCTCACCCGACAGTTCGGCGTCGCGGTCTCAGAAGAGGAGGGAGGGGCTGGGAAGGAGCGCGCGGCTCGGGGTCAGGGCCCGATACGGGGGGCGGGGAGGAGGAAATGCCGTAATATTTTCCTTAATGAAAGTCGCTCATCGGAGCAAGCAGTGCCGCAAGGTTTTTGTATGGACAAGGTGAAGGGCAGGGCGGCCTGCTGGTGGCGGGGTAGAGTCGAAGTTTCTCCAGCACGTGCCGGGCCTTCTTGCAGCTGCCTCTTACCTCCCCGAACTCGCCCAAACCTAAGGCCCACGGATCCCAAAACGCGACGCAGGAAATGTTCTATGACTCACCAAAAGCAGTGCCTACGCAAGCTGACCTCTGTTTCTGGGTTTTAGTTGTAAGTTGAGCTAGACCTACCCCTAGCAGAATTGACAGTCTAAAAGAACAAATAAATTACGTTTAAGAGTCCTCTAATTTTCTGCTATGGAAGTTAGATGTACGCTACATATTCTTGAATGTGAAGGCAAAAAATTAGTGATGCAGCCAACACCTCCCACTGAACCCTGCTTCCCCCGTGAGGAGTAATGATGGTTACTGAGTCCAGTGATACATATAAAACCCTTTACAGTATAGTGCGAATGTGTATATCAACTGTAAGTAGCTGAGCGTGGTGGCACTCGGGAGGCTGAGGCAGGAGGATCGTTGCGAGTTCAGCCTGGGCTACAAAGTGAGCTCAAGGGCAGTCTGAACTGTATAGTGAGACCCTGTCTCAAAAACACACACAAAAACAATCTTTAATTATCCTCAAGGTATAGCATATAGATACTTCTGAATTGTTTCCTAATTTGTGAAAAGAAAAATCTTGTCCTGTGGTGGTTTAAAGGTGTAGCCAAGGGGCTGGGAATTTAGTTCAGCGGCACAGCACCGGCCTGGTAAGCGTGAGGTCGTGAGTTCGATTCCCAGTACCGGGGAAAAAAAGCAAAACAAAATAAAAAGGTGTAGCCGATTCGCAATATCCGATTACCTAATGAGTGTGACTGGCATCATAAAATGTTTCCCTGAGGCAAAACTTGGTTTCCAGTGAGATGACTGTGACAGTGTACATAAATCACCCCAAAGTTCCCTCCAAAGCACTTTATGGCGAATTTGGAGAAAGCCTATTCTTTTAACTACATAGTAAGGTAGCATTAATTGTTTTCATCGCACTGTTACACCTGTCAGAGCAGCAGCATTACACTAGAGCCTTGCGATGCTGTCCTGGAAAGAGCAGTAGACTGGGCACCAGAAAGAGCTCTACTTTAGCAGTAGATATACTCCGGTCAGTGTTTACCACTTTGGTTTTTACTTAGCCCCTAGCATAACAGTGGATGCTCAATAGAAGTTTGCTGAAATAATTCTGAAGTACAACATTTCAGTGTGGGCCATTTTTCTTCTTTGAAACAACGTGTGTCATGTCTGTAGTTAGTGCTACGTGTTGGCAAAGAATTGTGCCACAGGCCACCTGTTCATTTAGAGACCATAGAAGTAACACTACAATAGAGGGACGCGGGAGCCATTCAGGAGCTGGAAACCAGGAGGACCTTGCACAATACCTGGGGAGATCCCCGGGAGGCCATTCTTCCCCTAACTCTACAGGCTGCGGTGGAGGAGCGGGTGGAGCTCCGGAGAGGTCTGCACCAAAACTTCATGGATTACATGGGTGCCCAATATTCAGATTCTGAAGAACCGCCTTCATGGAGCAGGTATGTGTCTAGGTTACCTGCCTGGGACACTTTGCACCTGATGGTGTGAGACTGACTAGCGGGCCGAGGACTTCATCCACATGTTCCTGCTGCCTGTGTTGACGGCTGGGGAGAGGACACTTAATGGTTGCGGGATCCCAATATGCTGGGAGGCTGGAGAGAACACCCCTCTGCTTGCTTAGACAAGAGGCATTGATAAAGCATACTTTCCTGGATCCCACTTCAGTAGAGGGACAAACTATTCTTACAGATAAGTTTATTACTCAGTTAGCCCCAAATAGTAGAAAAAAGCTACCAAAAAAATGGCTTTTGCCCCAGATAACTTACTTGAGATGTTAGTAAGAATTGCTGCCTCAGTATTTTATAGCTGTGAGGAGGAGAAGGCCAATGAGGGAAAACAAAGAGAGCAAGAAAAAACAGCTGCCTTTGTTGCAGCACTAAGAGAAACAGACCCTAAGTCTGATTCTCAGGGCCCCAAGAAGAACTCATCAACTACATTCATCTGCCACCACTGTCAAAAGCCAGGCCCCCTCAAGAGGGACTGCCGTAAGAAGCCCCTGGACAATGCCCTGATTGTAATGGTGACCACTAGAGATCAGACTGCCCCCTGAAGTGAAGGCCCCAGAGCTCAGACCCCTCCTACCAGCTGGTCCAATAGGGAAGAAGGGGCCCAGGGCATACTCTGCCTTCTCCCTCTGGCCAGACCATCATCTCCATGGAGGAGCCCCAGTAATCATGACTATAGAGGAAAAAGTAAACAGCCTATTGCTGGACACTGGTGCTAGTCTCTCGGTCCTTTTCAATCCTGGCCTTCCTTCCAGCTGTCATACCTCAGTGAAAGGAGTCACTGATGAGGAGGTAATCCCCTATTTTTCACAACCCTTAGGCTGTAAGTACTTGTTAGATCTTTCTTGCACATCTTTGTTTTCCTGAGAAACCACTTTGAAGATACCAACATGTATTACAGCAGCCATTGATAATTTCCTACCAATCTGTCCATAACTGTAATATTTGTATTGTTCCTATGCTATTTCATAAATGGATGTATGTTTATTACTGTTTTCAACAACCATTGAGAATAGTCAATGATTATTTAATTGATCACTCATGTATAGCTCTGTTTTCCCTAGAAACCACTTTGAAGAAACCAAAGTATAGTACAACAACCATTGATAATTTCCTACCATTTTTGTCTGTAACTGTTGTCTATTTGTTTTCCTGAGAAACTGTCTTGAAGATACCAATAGGTAAAATAACCATTGATAATGTCCTACCACTTTGTAATTCAGTAAATTAAATCCCCCTATTACTATGTTATCCTTCTTTTACTCTTTTAAATAAATAAAAAAAATAAAAAATTTGTAAAACCTCTACAATAGAGCAGCATAGTGGACAGTACTACCAGTGATCAACATTGGCCAATAATTGGACACTGTTTGGGTGTCATGTATGCCTTGATGGGAAAATATGGAGGGCACTGCACATATGGTGTATTGTTGGAAAAATATTTAAGCTGAATCTTTTCAAGAGAAAACAATTCACAAAATCCAAATTGAGGGGCATGCTGCAAAACAGTTGGCCTGGAATTGAAAAAATGTCACAAAAAACAAAAAATAATTACGGAATTGTTGTAGTTTAAAGAGATGTAAACCAGGGGTGGTAGCACATGCCTATAATCCCAGCACTTGGGAGGCTGAGGCAGGAGGATCTTTGCAAGTTCAAAACCAGCCTGGGCTATGAAGTGAACTCGAAGCCAGCCTGAACTGCATACTGAGACCCTATCTCAAAAGGACAAAAAAAAAAAAAAAAAAAAAAAAACAAAAAAACAATGACAGCTATAGGCAAGAGACTATATTTATCTTTAGTTTTGTTTCTAAATGGCCTCAAACTCAAAGATCCTCCTGCCTCAGCCTTCCAGTTGATGGGAGTACAAGCATGTACCACCATGCATGACTCTCTAATTTTTCACTTTGGTAATTGATCTTTATT